CAGTGGAGACCCCCACCTTCATCACCCCATGGGGTGGAGACCCCCACCTTCATCATCCACACACCACAGCCCCTCACCTTCCCAGAGGCCTTAAACTCTCATGCGCTGCAAGTAACATAGTTCCCCTTTAATTAGCATTCTCCCTTCTACTGGTTAAATGATTCTCTCACTTCTCCTGCTAATTAGGCCACACACTAGTTTTCTCCTCCTTTTGAGTCATGGAGTTTCTTGACTCAGTGGTCACCACCTCTCCTGGGCAGAATTCCTCAGTTCACCCTTTCAGCTGAGGGTTGACCTCGTTTGTTCCTTGTCACTCAGCCTGCCCATGGGTGTGCCACGAGTGTCCTTGGCCCACTGGCTCAGCATTGCATCGGCTCTTCTTCCCACTGAGGGTTTGCCTCGAGTTTCTTCTCTCCCAGCTGCAGTACTGAGGCTTATTCCAGCTGCAATGACTGACACACGTTCCGTAGGGTTGCTGTGTATGGATGCTTGACGCCAGGGTGAGCAGCACCCACAGCACCAGAGCAGCACCTTGGTGGTGCAGGAACCCACTCCAGTGGGATTCTGGCACATGGAGTGAGGCAGGAGACAACCCACGACAGAGGAGTGTTGTGTTCAGTGTGATGATGTCACAGTAGTGATGCAATTCACACAGTGGAAGCCCTGGCAGTGGTGCACTGGGCACTGCTGGTTCTGCGTGTTTCTATCTCACAGAGGGAGGGACAGACAGAGGGAGCAGTGCACTGGGCACTGCTGGTTCTGCCTGTTTTTATCCCACAGAGGGAGGAGGACACAGAGGGAGCAGTGCACTGGGCACTGCTGGTTCTGCCTGTTTTTATCCCACAGTGGGTGGGAGACACAGAGGGAGCAGTGCACTGGGCACTGCTGGTTCTGCCTGTTTCTGTCCCACAGTGAGTGGGAGACACAGAGGGAGCAGTGCACTGGGCACTGCTGGTTCTGCCTGTTTCTAGCCCACAGCTGTGAGCTGCAGAAAGCAGTAGAAGCCCCAGCATGAGGCTGGTGTCAGGACTGTGCAGAGCCCTGCTGTGGCGCAGGGCCCGGGGCAATAGCCTGGCACTGCCACCTGAGGCCAAGCCCCAGCCGGAGTGGCTGCGCGAGGTGCGGCTATTTGGGCGCAGCCTCCTTGGCCTCCTCCTGGGCCTGCTTTTGGCAAGTGCCTATGGGCTGATGGCGCTGCTGGTGCACAGGCACGACATCTGGTACTGCCTGACCATCACCCTCTTCCTGGGCTCGGTGCTGGGGCTGGGCATGGCCTTCTCTGTGAAGATGAGGATGATCATGCTGCTGGCGTTGCCCCACGTCTTCACCAGTGAGCAGCCGTGGGTCCAAGGGGGAGCTGGGGGTGGGGTGGGATCCCAGCTGAGCCCAGGATTGCCCTTTCTCCACAGGGGAAGGGAAGATCCTGGTTATGGTGTTGGCAGTGTGCCTGACCATGCAGGGCCCCGGCACCAACGTCCTGCACAACATCGCCCAGATCTCCGACACGCTGTCGTGCGGGGCTGAACTGGCCTTTTTGAGGGCGGCGGTACCGGGCCAAGGAGCCGCTGCTGAGTGAGAAAGGGGCTGGAGGGAGGTGTGGGCATGGGAGGGGCCCGGCCTGGGGGAAGGTATGCTCATGGGTCCTCCCTGTCTGTAGACTTGCAGAACAAAATCAAGGACCTTTCCCAGAACGCCAAGGTGGTGTGTGACCGCGTTCGCCAGTTCTTCAGCGCCATCACGGACTCCGTCAGACACATTT